ATTATTTGAAAAATGAAATATAATAAAAGTCATGCCAATTGTAACACCAAAAAGCACTTTTTAATTTATGAAACGAGAAATTGTATGACTAATTTAGACGAATTTGTTGTCCAAATTACAGCAAATATTTTTTTTTTGTTTTTACAAATAACATTTTTTCGACATTACCAAATTATTCAACAATAAAATTTGCGGAGCAAATACAAATATCATTAGATAACTCTATCAAAATGCCATTTTTTCTTTCATACGCTTTTAAAAATCTTTGATTTTATTCAATTTTTTTGCGAAATACGCTTTGCGTCCAAAAAAATTAAATATACTTTGTTTTCAATTACAGGAATCTGGAACTTTTTTTAAAAAACTTGCCTTTTATTACTTGCGATTAAAAGCGTTATTTTGTTACAAGACGTACAAATGTAAGCCCATAAGGAGAAAAATGTTGATTTATGGAACATTAATTTTTGTTATTACAGGAATCTGTAATATTTGTTGTACCATTGACAAGTAAAATACATGAATACTTGAGATTAACGCCGTTAATTTTGTAACACTTATGAAAGCGAGTCGTCAAACATGAACTTACAAAGGTTGAAACATTGATAAATCAAACTGTAAGTTTTGTTATTACAGGAATCTGTAAACTATTTCTGTTTCAAACATATCATATACATATACATATAATCTATGAACTGTAAATAAAAAATACGCTTTGTCTCGAAAAAAAACATGTTTTGTTTTCCAATTTTTCAATTTTCAATTTCAATTTTTTAGAAATTTGCCATAATTTTATTTTTTGCTATTAGAATCGTTATTTTTGTTACCTTTATAAATGCATGACGTTCCCTCTCTCTCTCTCAAAATAAGATATTTTCCATCGATAATGTTATTTTTTGTGAGAATAGTACAACCTCATTCATCCGAACTTTTTGCTATCCTCAAAAAAGTCAACCAACTAAATGACTTTTTTCAGTTAGTTGTCTTTCATTTTTATAGTTTAACTTTTTAATCACTATAAAAAATTAGAAGTTTTATTACGTTTTTCCACAAATTAATAAACAATAATGATATGTACAGTGCGATCAAAAAGTCTTTCTATCAAGCAGGCGTCCTAGTTGAGGACGTACGTTGCATGGCATTCGTATGTTATCTAGATGTCAAAAAAATATTTTATAAAAATTAAAACATTAAGCTAATTAAATTGAATTATTCTATGAAACGTCTCAAAATATCCTAAAATTAGATTTTGTTGGTGTTTATTCATAAAAATCGTTCACCACGGTTTCTTGTTATAATTTACATAAAAATTATTTTGACATTTCTCATTTGTCATTGTGACATTTTATCTTCCATAGACATTTAAATTTCTACGCTTGCTTAATAGACAGACTTTTTGATCGCACTGTATAATATATCATTAGAAATAGGAGAAATAATTTGGAAAAATTTACATGCATAAAAAAAATAATATAGACTAGCAATGCCAACTAAATTGAGAAAACGTGTTAAAACTTTAGATTAGATAATATACTTTTAACAGATTCACCCTGTATATTTTATTATTAAATCAAGATACAACTCCATAATACCAAACTCCAAAAAATAGATAATACAGTAAACCTACAACAATTAGTTCGGATTATCGAGGTTCTACTGTAATGGAACTTGTTGAAGAAACAAAACATAGAAATATAGCCAAAAACATCGTAAATGTCTCATATTTTTATAATTGTAAAACACAATAATCATGACATAAAAAGCGAAATAAAAAAGTGCAATAAGAAATACAGCGCCAAAGCGGTGATTTCCGAGAATATTTCTGTGGTTATAAAGTTTGAAATTGTCGTTTTTTTTTTTTAATTCAATAATAGTTTCGTTTAAAAGGGATTAAAAATTTGGAAGGTGGTACCACCAAAAACCGCAAAAATCCCAACTAAAACTCAAATAAAAAAAAAACAAAAACACACCTCTGTAAAGCATGCCACTGCTCATGCTCCGATCAGCCAAACTATCCTGCGACCCGCGATAATAATCACGTTTCATCGTTGAATTAGCTACAGAAAAAGAAAAACATAAATAAATGAATCATGCAAAAAAAAATACGCAACCCTTAAAAAATACCTGTGAGATTCGAAGTGGAGCCTTTCTTCCCTCGACTCGGCTGCATCATCCCTTCGGCCATTTCCACCGACCCACTATCGATATGAATCGTCTTGGGTCTGGGTCTCGACGCCGCCTTGGGTCGCATCTTGGGTGTCGGTTTCAACGAACCCATCAGCTCGCTCTTATCAAACACTTTACCCTAAAAAAACCACACATTTTGTTAACATAAACCACGTTTAGAAAACACCAACCAACGACCAATAAATGTAAGACATGATGAACGTCGCGGTGTGAATGACACATTAAGAATTCTTAAAATAGGCAAAAAGAGAAAAAAACCACTCAGGATGTGTCTTAAAATAGACTTACTTCGCGTTCGGCTTCTTCCATTGCTTTCTTCAATTTATACTGTTCTAATATGGCGGCTCGTCTTTGGGCTTGTTCTTCCTTCTTCCGGGCGCGTTCTTCTTCTTTGGCCTTTTCGCGTTCGCGACGTGCTTGAGCCTCGGCCTCTTTCCGGGCTCGGGCTTCGTCCAGTTCCAATTTGCGCTGCATCGAGGCCTGCATTATGCGCTGTTTCATGCGCTCGGCGGCGTCCTAAGTACAAAATTAACAATAAAATAATGTAAATAAAAAATATACTTTGCGTCCAAAAAACAAAATATGCTTTGTTTGCAATTACAGGAATCTGTAATTTTTTAAAAAACTTGCCTTACTTTTATTATTTGCGATTAAAATCGTTATTTTGTTACATTTATAAATGCAAAACGTACAAAAAATATAAACCCATAAGGAGAAAAATCTTGATTTATGGAACATTAATATTTGTTAATACAGGAATCTGTAATATTTATTGTACCATTGACAACTAAAATACATGAATATTTGATATCAACGCCGTAACATTTATGAAAGCGAGACGTCAAACATGAACTTACAAAACATTGATAAATCAAACTTTAAGTTTTGTTATTACAGGAATCTGTAAATTATTTCTGTTTTATTTTTCAAATGTACCGTGCGATCGAAAAAAAAAATAAATTAGAGTAGGCGGTGATTATAATCCCTCAGATTTTTGACATCAAATGTGAGCAGAAACTTTCACAAGTTCGCGTTTTATTTATTTTGCGTGAAATAATGTTCACTTTAGAGCAGAAAATTTTTATTGTTGCCAGTTATTACAAAAATGCTGCATAAGACAAAAATGGTAAATGGTCATTTTCACTTCCAGTTTGTGTGGAAAATTTCCAGCAAAAGTTATTACCAACTGTGGAAGATTAATCGTCGCCTACTCTAATTTTTTTTCGCACGGTATGTCGAATCTGTGAACTGACTTTGCGTCCAAAAAAACAAAATATACTTTGGTTTTAATTACAGGATTTTTTTAAAAACTTGCCTTACTTTTATTATTCGCGATTAAAATCGTTATTTTGTTACATTTATAACTGCAAGACGTGCTAATATAAACCCATAAAGAGAAAAATGTTGATTTATGTTATTACAGGAATCTGTAATATTTATTGTACCAATGACAACTAAAATACATTAATACTTATTATTAACGCCGTTAATTTTGTAACATTTATAAAATCAAGACGTAAAACATGAATTTACAAAGGTTAAAACATTGATATATCAAATTTTAAGTTTTGTTATTACAGGAATCTGTAAACTATTTCTTTTTTATTTTTCAAATGTACAGCTACATTAAAAAAAAACGAGAAATGAAATGTTTCCAAATGTAAATTCGGTTCTGATTGTCAATTGTCAACTTGACAATACCTATCAAAAATATTTCTATCAATGTCGTTAAATTTATACCAACTTAATAATGCCGCATTTAAGTAAAGTAGAGAAAGCCAGAATCGTCGCTCACCTGGAAAATGGTAGGAAAATTATGAATTTAGCGGCAGAATTTAGAGTGCTATCAAGTTATTTTAACCTATTTTTAATAAAACACGTTCACACCATGGAAAAATTAAAAAAAGAAACCTCTAAGTTTTTTTTTGATATTTCCCGTTTTTTTTGAATCTATGAACTGACTCTGAGTCCAAAAAAAAAACTTTGTTTTCATTTACAGGAATTTGTAATTTTTTAAAAAAACTTGCCTTATTTTTATTATTTGCAATTAAAATCGTTATTTTGTTACATTTATAAATGCAAGACGTACAAATATAAACCCATAAGAATATAAATCTTGATTTATGGAACATTAATTTTTGTTATTACAGGAATCTGCAATATTTATTGTACCATTGGCAACTAAAATACATAACTATTTGAGATTAACGCCGTTAATTTTGTAACATTTATAAAAGCATGAACTTACAATGATAAATGAAACTTTAGTTTTGTGATTACAGGAACCTGTAATTTTTGATAAAATAAATTCTTACCGGGTCCGGATTGCCTTTATCATTTTCAATGATAATCGCTGACGCGGCCGCGACTTTTTTACTTTCTTGACTAGCTTCACGTCTGGCCTTTAACTTCTCCCTTTCTTGTTCAATCAACATTTGCCTCCTCTTATCCTCTTCTTCCTTCTTTGCTCTTTCCTCCTCCGCTCTCGTATCCTGTTCATTCTCCTCCACTGTTTCCACATAACTCCTTTCTTTTTTCGGCGACATTCTTTTCGTTCTTAAGGGCGGTTTCGGCCTTTTTGGCTGATCGTTATCAAACTGTATATAAAAACCTTTCTGACTTGTTGGATCCCTATCTAAACTACTGATTTCGGCCAATGGTGGTTCTTTTTCAGGTGGTGGTGACGGTTGGAAGGAATTTCTAGTGATAAGTGGCCTCGTCGGTGACGGTATTCTATACGTCCTACTCCCTGAAGTAATATTCAACCTACTTAAACCCTCAGTGAGTTGATCATCTGAATTTCCAATAAATGAAATATTTTGGGGTTCCATATCATCGGCAGAGGGCGCAGGAATAGGTGCATGTGTAACGCCACTAGATTTCCGATCAATCTGTTGTAGACTCACCGGTGATCGTTTACTTTCGTCCATTAGTTGCGAGATTTGCCGATGAATGTTTCGATGTTGAGGCGAAGCCGAAGGAGTACTATGTGAAGTTCCATAAGCTTGGTGATGTTGTTGACTAAGTGTGAAGCTATTCGAATGATGGAGATTATGCTCATCGTTGCCGTTTTGATACTTTGGACTATCAATATATCGGTACTCGGATTGGTATTTGCTATTGTCGTGCAACACAAACCCCCCACCACCCATCTTATTCCACGTTCTCAATTCCGTTTGGTGTAAATCTTGCGGTTGCTGAGCCCACGTCCTTCTTTGTGGTACAGGGGGCGGAGTTTGATCGTGGAGGAAGAACTGCGGCTGTGATTGCTGGTAGAGAGATTGGGGTATGTGGGGGGCGCTTGCTGACGATTGAAGAGGCGGCGCAAACTGTTGTTGGTAAATCTGTGGACTGTAGACGTATTGCTGTTGTTGCATGCTTTGATATTGCTGCTGTTGAAGCTGTTGGATCTGTTTCTGTTGCTGTACGATGAGACTCTGCTGTTGGGCAGCCTGAATCTGGTTCTGTTGGGAAGTCAGCCTTTGAATGTCGGATTGAATATCGCCGAGACTAGAATTCATTCTGTTGAAAGAATATTTCAATAAAAAAAAAACAAACTAATTAGTGACTACGGAGAACTACATACTAGGAGACGAAACGAGATACAAAATTGCTTGATTTTTTGGACCCAAAAAAAGTAGTAAAAATGAGGGCACTTAGAGCGTTTTACCGTCTCAGTTTCAAATCGTTTTTAATTAATTTAAGTTCAACCAGTTTACTAATTGCTTGGAAAAAAATGCAAAAATGTTGAGCTTTACATTCTTAAGAGCTGTCTGACACGAAACTAATTTCAGTACTGAATTTAGTACTGAAACTGCGCGCGCAATATTAGTTAGCTTGGTTGCAAGAAAATAGAGCCTGTTCTAATTTCTTGGATGAAAGCTTGCTAAAACTGCGCACTAAAAATGCGCATTAACAAAAACCGTAAATTTAAAATATTCGAATGTAAAAACAGAAATGTTATAACTAAGACGCTTCACGAGCTTAAAAATGTTCAAGGGTAATTTTTTGAAATTGTGTTTATGCTACCACGCCCTGTTATCAAAAGAAACGTATTAAGTCCCCCACAATATTATAAATTTAAAAAATCAACAATTTATTGCAGAAAATCTGTTATTATTTGTTATTGTTTTGAAATCAATAGTTTATCTTCAAAATGCATTTTCTATTAATTATTTACTTTAATATCTAATTTTCAATTTAATGAACCGATTTTGTAATATAAAGAGTAATATTGCAGAATTTGTCAACTAAAATATGAAAAATGTAACAAAGAATAAATATAACAAAATATCACAAATTTTAAAGTAATGCTAAATCAATAAGTGGTGAATTAACTAACGTCCCTCAACATTTTTTAAATAGTTTCCTTCAGATAGATGTTACATAACAGAACTCCAAAATATTTATTTTTTAAAGCTAACTAATGTAGTTTTTTTAATACCAGACATTAAACTGCATTTCCATTTAGGCTATTTCAACGTTCAAAAACGGTTGGAGATAAAAATCTCTTGAACATTCTCTTCAAGAAAATTTTATTCTCTACAACCCCTTGATTGTATTTGTTGTAAATCTAACGTTTTTCGATCTTTTTAATTAAAGAGAATTATTCGCAAATGTTAAACTTGGCTTTAAATTTTATATAACTCATTTAAGAATACTTTCAGATGAAATATCTGTAATATTTTTTCAGGGTTGTAGGGAATTGAATATCCCGGTATATTATTGTCCGTGCTTAAAATTGACAACTGACAGTCCTTTCGGTCTTTAGCAAGATCAATGCGCATGTTCATAGACTTATTTCAGTACTTTTACGTGTCATACAAAACTTGTAGTAACTTCAACTAATTTCGATACCAAATTTGCGAGCGCAGTTTCAGTACTAAATTCAGTACTGAAATTAATCTCGTGTCAGACAGCTCTAAGAAGCTGTAAAAAACGAACCACTAAATTTTTCACGAGGAATATGAGAAAAAAAATATTTAAAATTCAAAATCTGTGCTCCGTGTGCTGCGAATACGGTTAAAGATACAAGAAAAATGTAAGAAAGAAAGTTGTAGAAAATAAAATTTTCTAGTAAAAAGTCCGCAACACCATACCCCTATCTTTAATGGTTTAGGCCCCAAAGACGTTCAAAGAAGCTTTTGATTGAGTGCCGGGGGGACACTTTAAAGCAATTTAAACCTAAACCGTTGAAGATAGAAATATGGTGTCGCGGACTTTTTTGTAGAAAATTTTATTCTCTATTATTTTGGTTCTTACACGTTTTTTGTATCTTTAACCATATTTGCAGCGTTCTTAAAAATATTGGACGTAACGCTAACTGATAATTATTTATAAATCATTTCTAATACTGTTTTCGATATTTTTGAAAACGCTACGAATACGGTTGAAGATACAAAAAAAGTGTAGGAAACAAAATTGTAGAGAATTAAATTTCCTACAAAAAAGTCCGCGAGACTATATCTCTAGCTTCAACCGTTTAGGTTTAAATTAATTTTCTGTCTCTTGACCACCGGTAAAAATGAGCCGTATTCGTCGCTTGAGTGTCTTTGAACGTCTTTAGGTCCTAAACCATTGAAGATAGAGGTATTATCTCGCGGACCGTTTTCTTGGAAATTTCATTCTCTACAACTTTCGTTTTTATATTTTTCTTGTATCTTTAACCGTATTCGTAGCATTTTCACAAATTTGAGACGGGGCTCAAATTGCTAAATGTTTGAAATTTTTTTAAATACAGGGTGTTCCGTTTTTATTGTTACAAATTTAAACAGGTGATAAGATATTCAATTCTAAAACAAAAGTTTCCTATAAACATGTATCGAAAAATGATTGGTAAGGGAGCTACACCCCCTGGAAGGGGGCTAATATGTTTTTGCAAATATTTCAGGAACCATTTAAGATAAAATTACAAAATTTGGTACAGATGATAATCTTTATACACCTAAACGAATTCAAACATCAAATGTCGAAATTTCTAATCAGGGGCGTCCGAAACTGGTGAGGTTTAGGGTAAAAAAATACCCTATCTATTTTGGCTTTAGTTTCTTTAGTTATGCATTGACCAAAATGGTGGTCACTTTGAAAACTCCTTTAGATTTAGGCAAATTCATTTAATTAATGTTATTATTGTTACTGTAATGTAATGTTAATTAGTTGAGGTTGATTAAAAAATATGAATTTCTTGCTTTTATTATTCTGTAAATTCTGATTTATTTGAATGTTGTATTGGTGTGTAACATAAATTTTAAATTAATTTTATTCAAAAACAATAAGTCGTATCGACACAAGAGAGACTTTTCTGTGATAAACTATCGAACTTAAAATTTTGTTGCTGAAAGTACTGAGAAACTAAAGCCAAAATAAATAAGGTATTTTTTTACTTTAAACTCCCCCGAGTTTCGTACGCCCCTGATCAAAAATTTCGACATTTGATGTTTGAATTCGTTTAGGTGTATAAAGATTATCATCTGTACCAAATTTTGTAATTTTATCTTAAATGGTTTCTGAGATATTAGCAAAAACATATTAGCCCCCTTCCAGGGGGTGTAGCTCCCTTACCAAGCATTTTTCGATACATGTTTATAGGAAACTTTTGTCTTAGAATTGAATATCCTATCACCTGTTTAAATTTGTAACAACAAAAACGGAACAATAAAATTTTTGCATTACCTTTATCTCTTATTATGGAGAATTTAATGTTCTATCTGCCTTAATTTTTTTATTTGCGTTTTGCTCACCGTTATGTAAATACAGGCATTTTTTTATTTCATTGCTATTAAAACTTGAACGGGAAAGGAACAACTGCGCTATCTGGCCTCGCTAACGGAACTATCAAAAACGGGGACCTTTTGTTTTACATCGTGTCGTATCCTAGTCTTTAGGTATCCGTATTAGTGACTTACTGAGCTATGGATTGTTGATACTGTTCCAGATCCATATTTTCAAGATCCGGTGTTCGTCGAGTTTCCAAAAATGGTTGCGTTTCGTCAAGCCATTTGTGTTCGACGGCAGTGGCATCGTCTTGGATTTCCTACAAGCGAAAGTACTTTCTTATTGGAAATGCAACAAAAAATAAAAGAGAAAAAAAAACACATGCGCTACAAGGTTTCAAGCAAAAACAAAAAATAAAATACCTGTAACGTAAACGGCCTCTGAGGTTTTGTAGGAGCGGATTCGGAGGAAGGACTTTGAGATTCAGAGCCCGTCGCTGAGTTTGAATTAGACTCAGCGTCAGTCGGTGTTTTTAGCAAATTACCTCTGCCCTGAAAGTTAGTCAGAAATGAAACCTCCACCATTGAAAAATCCACTTGAGGATTTTTTTGAGAATAACAAAAGAGAGAAAAAGAGTGTCTGATGCTTGTTTCCCACTGACAGTTTGTGCTGTTATTTTTTTTTAATTCAAGTGAGTTTCGTGTAAAGTCTGTTTTTTTTTAATGGAAATGTCAAACAATCTTAACGTTGGCACCCCTAACAAATTCATCCATGGTAATTTTCGTCGTCTGCGTTGATTGACAGTAATATAAAGTCTATCCAAGAGGCCAAAATCGTGAACTTGTCAAAATGGTAAATTCCGTTGTTACTTTTCATCAATTTCCAAAAAGTCGAAATCAAAAGAACGAATGGATTAAGAGAATATTTGGTACTATCGGCAATATTTCCCCAAATTCCGTGATTTGTGGAAAACACTTTGAAATAACGAGCTATTATAAAAACAAAAAATGTTACCAAATGCAGTTCCATCCTTGCTGTTGAATTATAAAAAATTACTCGTTTTCAGATAATATCTACCATTAATTCAGAACGTAAGTCGTGTCTCCAATCTCTAGACTCATTTGACAAAAATTATATAATTTCAAGTCCATTTCGATTTGATTTTGATCAACAAAGCGATTTAAAAGTAGGTGATACTCATGATTTTGATTTAAAAAATGTTCCAGATGCAATAAGTTCGGAAGAAAAATTTGTCTGACTAGATGAAAAAAAATGCAGGAAGTAAATATAAGATTTCAAAAGTTGAATAAGCTGTACGAAAATATACTTGAAAAACTAAAGAAAATTCAGGAAAAAATTGACAATTACAGTAAAGGTCAATTGTACAGTGAAAATTGAGTCAGATGCAAAGGACTTAGGACCAAGGGCTGTCTTTTTACTTGAGCAAATTTATAATTATTCCCTAAAAAACCCAAGATGGTATGAAGTTACAGTACTGTATTGCCTGGAGGTACATTTCTCCAAAAGGTTATAAATTTGCGAGAGGAAGTCAGTTTTTAAAAGCTCCATCCAAAACAACTTTAAACAGATATATAAGAAGTTCTCAAGGGGTTTTCTCAAAGAAAAAAAAAATAATAGAGAACTAATTAATAGAGAATAAAATTAATCCTTGTGTTTTTTATTCGAAGTATTGAAGAAATAATGTAATTTTAATGTTCTTGTAAATTTGTAAAGATTAAAAATAACTACTAACCCAAATGTATTTTTTTTTATTAAATAAAATTATATTTGTCTATAAAATGTTATAATTTTTGATGTTTTTGTTCTAGTTCTCAGAAAAAATCACAATCAATAAAAAAATTATTATACAAGCCAAAAAACACAAAAGTAAATTTTTGTATACAAAAATTTATCAAGGTTTCAAACCAAAGTATACAGATTCCATTGGAGCGCGGACTCGTCGCTCCCCCAACGGCCATTTTTTTTGACATTGGATAGACTTTTTATTACCGTCAATCAACGCAGACGACGCTTGTAACAAAATTTCTAGGGACAAAAACAAAAAAAATTAATAGCTACTGAGCTGTTACCAATTTTTTCACCAAAATTTTAACTTGGTAATTTCCATTTAAAGAAAAAACAGACTAGTAAAAAATTAACGTATTCATTCTACAATACTACCAACGTCACATTTGTAAACACATTTTGTGTGTTTATAGTTGTTACGTGTAACCATGTTCATAGTGTGACTAAAATACTATGTTCTAATTGGTTAGTTTTGTTAATTTTTATAGCTAGAGCGTCATTACTTGCAGATTTCAAACTGTCAATTTCGTCGGTTCGGTTTCCGTTTCAAATCTGCTTGTAAATAAACTCATGCATAGAACAATGAAAAGGAGTTAAAAAAAATCATGCAACTTAATAAAAAACCACATCTACTATTGCGAAAAGGATCACAGTCCTTTTCAATCAAAAGCATCTAACTTAGAAACAACCTCTTACCAATTCAGTTAGCTAAAAGACACATTCGATTAATTACAAACCAAAAAAGGACATTAAAAGCAACGTAAATGAGAAGGAGAAGAAGAAGATGACAGATGAATGACCACACCACAGTAAAAAACAAAACACAAACCCGAGCCACTGCTTGAAGAAACGCCGCTTTTCCCACTTTCTGTCTTTGCTTGTTCATCGCCAACTCAACTCTCCTTTTCTCCGTTTCAATCAATCTTCTCTTCTCCTCCAACTTCAATCTCACATCGTTCAATTGAGCCGCATTCACTGTCACATGACCCAACTCACTTTCGCCATTACTATCACCCAATTGTTGATTATTACTACTCTGTTGTTGCCACGTGGTCGTGTTGGGCAACGTCGCAAATGAGGTTTTTTTCTCAGGAGCGCCATTGGTGGTGGTGTTTGGTGTCTTCTTCGGCGCAAAATCCTCCTTGTCGTGTTGCATGTAGACCAATTGGATGGCGCCTATTGGTCGCTGTTTATTCACCTCAGCGAAACTCATCCGATTGGTCAGATCAGCGTCCACAACATCCTTGATAAATTTCTGAGAGATGTCATCGCTACTGAGTTGACGTTTCAGTTTGAATTTTTCCGTTTCATCGTCGCGTTTTTCACAGCCGTTGTCGTAACCTAATTGGATGGAACCTCGAGCGTCTTGTAGGGAGGAACGCACCGCCGGGTTCTCAATCGGGAATGAAGGGGCCGAGATTTTGCGTCCCGTATGCACACCCATCTTTAATAAAACAAAAAACTAATAAAAATTTAACAAAACTTGGATTTTTACTTCTTTATCTGGATTTCGTCCAATGAAATTGAGATTATCCTGACTTCCGCCGAAATTCTCAATGGTGAGTTGCGAGTCATCGCTAGTGGAGTTCCTCCGTGATCGGCGACCGGCGAAACTACTCTTGCGATGCTCCTCCCAATTGCTTGGTTTTCCAGCGGCGACTTCGCCCCTTTCGTCGGCTTTACTATCGTTGTTTTGTTTCTCTTTGTTGACTTTTAGTCTTCCGGGGATCAAAGGCTCGTCTTGAACAACCGAACGCAATGTCGGGATGTTCTTTCCACGATGAACGACAAAAGACTCTTCCGAACCGCGTCGAAGACTGTCTTCGCTCATTTCCGAGACGCTCTGTTGCAAGGAATTGGTTTTACGAAGTGGCACGTGGGTTGGCGTTGATCTCGTCACTGTGAAATCAAAATGTTCAATACCACATATAGCCCAGTCAAATTAGACAAATCGGTGGAAAAAATCCTAGAGTTGGAATTTTTTTAAACGCTTTCTTTACACTTGGGTAGACATACAGGGTGAAGTATGGAACCAAGCGGTTTTTTTTTAAATCATTTGTCTTCAGAAAATAATAATTACTAAAAATTAACGTAATATAAAAAATGAGATCGTATTTTGAGAACGAAATTTTGTCTTGTTTTTGAGTTATGCGATTTTTTTAATCAAAATTGCAATTTATAAAAATTTTTTTTTTGAAAACAGTAAATATGAAGTAGATAATTGTAATCCTTAGATCATAACCTTTATGAGAAAAATAGTTTTATAGTGGGTTACTATTTAAAAAAATAAAAATTTTTGTAGAACTCAAAAACAAAAGAAAATGTCGAAAAAATTTATTCTTGATACATCACATCTTTAAATCGTTCATCAATTAGTTTTTCCAAAAAATTAATAGTTTAAGCAAAAAACTTTTGGTTCCATACTTTTTATTCACCTGGTATGTATATCAAAAGTCCCCGAAGGTGGGGGGCGAGCTCGAGGAGGGGGAGGGGACTAAAGGTGTCTCTTTTTGTTTTTTTGCTTATATCTCGGAAATTATCACTCCTATAGGTTTTTATCTTCTTATCAAAATTAAAGCTTACAAAATTTCCTACAAAAACGGTCCTATTCATTTTTGTTGTAGGACTAACTGTAGGCTTCAAAAGTTTGGAGTCTACCTAAAAATGCATTAAAAATCCTTTGAAACACATTTCATTAGGATATGGTAAGTATTTATACAGGGTGAATATAAAGTATGGAACCAAGCGGTTTTATTTTTAATCATTTGCCTCCAGAAAATAATAATTAATATAAATTAAAGTAATATAAAAAATCTGATCGTATTTCCAGAACAAAATTTTGTTTTGTTTTTGAGTTATGCGATTTTATTTTGTCAAAATTGCAATTTATGTGAAAAAAATTTAAAAAAAAATTAAATATAAAGCAGGTAGTTGTAATCCTTAAAGTATAGCTTTTATGAGAAAAATGATTTTATAGTGGGTTGCCATTTAAAAAAATATTTTTTTATAGAACTCAAAAACAAAAGCAAATTTCAAAAAATTTTATTCTTGATAAATCATCACATTTTTATAGTACTTTATCACTCATCAATTATTTTTTTCAAAAAATAAATAGTTTAAGCAAAAAACGTTTGGTTCTATACTTTTTATTCACTTGGTATGTGTAGAGCGTTCCCCAACTAAGCTGGTCTGCCTGAAAAATGACTCGGGTGTAAACATTTAAACGGAGATATAAATAAAAATTTTGGATGAAAAAGAATCAATCTGTAAGGGGGTTAAATGGGGTGTAAATGTTTAAACAAAGATATAAACATAACGTTTTTTAGAGGTGTACAGGGGCACTAAAATCAGATTTTTCGAAAATTAGTTTTTAATGGAATAAAACGGTGTACACATTTAAAGGGATATAAAAACGTTAAATTTAGAAAATATGATCCTTAGAGAGTGTAGAAGTGCACTTTTCAAATTGTAATGAAATAAAATAGAGTTTAAACGCTTCAAAACAAAATTAGAAACATGAAATTTCGAATTTTGAGAGTGCAGAAGTGCACTGAGACGACACTTTATGAAAATCAACATTTAATATTTATTTATAAACATAGCCCATGCGAAGAACGAGACTACTATAACTGAATCCTATACATAACATAGGTAATTATCTAGCTTTATAGACTACCTAAGCCTATGGAATGGGTTTGTGAAGGGCTTTTTCCCATATTATATCAGAAATATACGCGGACAAAATCGCAGGCAAATGCTAGTTCAGCATATAAGGATGACTCGGAAGACTTAATAGACCCTCGTGGCACCCTCTAATAAACTGTTGGATCCAATACATTCAATTTACTGTAAGCTTTATTCAAATAATCGATATTAAATCATCTATTTATTAATATTGTACTGAACAAGACTGTAATTCGGTTTTCAATGTTTAAGTGGAAGACGAAGATGCAGCATATGAGGACGACTCAGAAGACTTTACAGACTCTCTAATGAAGTGTTGCACCCAATAAATTCAATTTGCTTTTAGTTTTTTTAAATCACAAGATTAATTCTGTTTTAAATGCGGATAAAGCACATTTTTTTTAAATGATGTTTTTTGTCAACCCTATAACTCGCTTACAGTTAGTCCTACAACAAAAATGCAAAGGACCATTTTTGTAGGCTTTAATTTTGATAAGCAGGCAAAAACCGTTAGGAGTAATAGTTTCCGAGATATAAGCAAAAAAACAAAAAAGAACTTTAGCACCCTCCCCCTTCTCGAGCTCGCCCCCCACCTTCGGGGACTTTTGATATATGTCTACCCAAGAATAAAGAAAGCGTTAAAAAAAAATCCACCGATCACCCTATTTTTGTCTAATTTGACTGGGCTAATAATAAAACAAGAAATTCATACTTACAACAGTGACTGCACAAATCAAAATAAAACGCAATAAAAAATAATAAAAAGCAAATGGTTTTATTTACATTAAATGAAATTATCTACAAAGTAGAGAAGATGTCATGCAAGAGTGTCAGTTGTGCCACCAGTGGCGACACGAAATTCCCCATAAATAAAATAAATAAATCAAAATGGTGCCATGAATGATATGTTTCTAGTTTGTGCCATACCTTGGAAGGCTGCGGACGCAGCAGGATCATCGAGTCCGCTGCGCAGATCCGGGATGGGTGTCATCACCGTCTGCAGTAGGTTTCGCTTATGCGCCACCCCGTGCTCATTGCGTGGGGGAAAACCCTCTGTGAGCGCACAAGTAGCATACAAGGAAACTCGTTAAATGTAAGTAAGTAAATACCACTTGCAACACTACCAAAAGTAACAAAACTACCACAAAACACCGATTGTTACTTTCGTGAATTGCACACAACTACTCTACGAATATACAGGGGGATTTTTTAAAAACGGAAAGCGATGTAAAATTTGTATTTGACCCAATTTCAAAAATTAAAAAACTAAACTAAATGGCTTTTATACTCTTCTTCATATTAATGTGCAACAACTAAGTTGTAAAAGTTTAAATGACTCTTTAATTTAAAGGCCGATTTACACAAAAAGTGTCATTAAAGTCATGCAGAACAAATTTAATCACATCAATAATAACAAAAATCCTAACTGTTTTTTTTTGCTACATGGGGTACACATTTATTTGAAAAAATAATTTTTAGGGAAAATTGAGATTAGGATTGTTTGAACAGGCAGTGATTAGCCCTTATTTGTAGATTTTGGGGTTAGCTTAATACTCCAACTCAAAAAAAAAATTCATTAATTGCAAGTGAAAGCAATGTTTAATAATAATGATTAATAGTCGACCGATTTTCTTGAAATTTTTAATGTTTCTGTAATTCATTCTGGCAAAAAACACAAAAAAAATAGTCTTTTGTTTAAGAATTTGAATTTTTGGGACCATTTTAGTTCAAATTGTTCTATATTTTGCACTAATTGAAGATCCAATCTGTCTAATTAAGTACTTTTGAATTTTTTTTCGATGATTTGACAAGCGGTTTTAGCCCTCATTTGTAAATTTTAGGGCTAGCTTAGCACTATAACTACAAAATTGCTTCAGTCAGTAATTCATTCTAAATGAGCCATCGCGCTGGCAAAACAAACCAAAAAAATTATCTTTTGTTTGAAAATTTGAATTTTTTTTGAACCATTTTCAATTTCTGTGCTAAGTTTTGCACTAATTGTATGGAAAGAATCAATCTGTCGAATTATGGGTTTTTGATTTTTTTCTTTGAAAGATTTGGCAAATAAAGGCTAAAACCAGCAAAATACAAATTTTAGTACACAATAAATGTACTAAATACACAGTGTTATTGTCGTATTAACAAGAAATTACTCCCTAGGATTTAGGGATATAATAAATTTGGTTAGGTTGGTTTCTGGTGACAAACAAAAGATAACGTCACTAGTGTCAAAATTTAGGGTAAGTCACCTGTCAGTTTGACAGAAAACGTCAACCTACAACCACAAGGGGTAACCAACCTCAATTTGAATCTGCTTTAAAAAAGACGCAAAAAATAAATTTTAATTAATTTTTCAATTAGCCACATAAAATTAATGTGAGGTAAAAGACTATTTCGTCAATTTTTTTCTCAGTGATAATTTAAGCTGGCAATTTAATTTTTTTTCTAAATCTCATAGTATATGGTAAGAATAGTATATAGTAAGATAAGATACCAAGAACATGGAAAAAATGTTTAAAAGATTCTATCTGTCAAAAAAATTTGACATTTATTTTTTGACATATGTATATGTTATGATACTGATGATCTTGTGTATGTTTTTTTTTATAATTATTTAGTAAAGAAGTAAAGGTACAAAAATTATGCCAATAAAAGCCACAAATAACATAAAACAGAGTTACAATTTGGGATAGAGTTTGAAATAAATAGAGTCATAGTGCAAAATTTAAAACAACTTCGAAAATTTTATAGACAGAATTTTTTTAACATTCTTTCCATCTTTCTGATATCTTACTTTACATGGCATTTTTCTCTGCTATGCAAATTCTGGCGCACCCCTGTATATTAAAAGCCGTTTACTTAATTTTTTTTATATTTAGAAATCGGATCACAAATAAAAATTCTACAGCACCTGCCGTTTTTAATAGTATAATAAAAAAACTTAAAAATTTCGTTAGTGTCTTACCGAAATAAAACCACCACCACATTTGCTCATTTACCACAAGCAAAAGAAAGGTAAAGAAGCCACTACTCAAAAGCAAAAGTGAAAAATCAATTTACACATTTATGCAAATCAGACGAGGAAAATTCAATAAAAAACAATGAGGTCACTAGAGGTCAACTTCCACAATAACAAGCAAAACACTCAACTGACCATTAAATTTATCCATTCCTGGATATCTCACGCACTTGGCGGGATGGATTTCAATCACGTTGAAGAGATCAGCAAGGAACACGATCAGATTATACCTCATGGAACTAAAACGAAAAAAAAACATAAATTTATTGCATTGATTCGTCCAATTTTACAATTACTCTCGCATGTATGTAAAATCCTCTGGTTGTATATGAAAAATGGATACCGGGAGACACCTGTTGCAAAAATCCTGCACTAAACTGATATTATACAAGCTATCTTGTACGTTTCGCACGTAGGAGATTTTCAAATCCGTCCAGGGCAATTCATCGGGACAATAGTAGGATATAAGTGCAGCTAACGCAACGCCATCTGTGAGATCTTTAAGATCGTGGACGGTGGGCAAGTCGGGAGGTTTCATTCTATCACCCTATAACAGAATTACTTGGTTTTTTTTTTTCTTTTAAATTAAGAAAAATTACCGATCCTCCACCATTCGTCATCCCCGTCTCCGTTTCCTGTTCGATCCTTTTTCTAAGAGCGTCGCATGCGTGCGACATCCATACGAAAACGGCCTGTTCGTGATTCTCAGGGACCTGGAGTTGTCTTCCGTCGTTAAAACGTTGAACGGCCGCGAAAACCCTATCCGAGGTGATGACTTCCCGGGCATAGAGAACCATTATGGACTCGATGACGGCCATATGAGCGCTCTAAAATTAACCGTGAATCATCTTATTGAAACAATGACTTTCAGCAATTATTTTCACATTTCAGATATGTATTTATCCAATTGTTAATAATAACGCAAATACAGAGTGTTCCGTCTAAACCCCACATTAAAAGTATTGGGAGTTCGAATAATCATATTTGATTGAAAATTGGTACATATAGAAAAATCATCCTAAGACATACTAAAAATTTTATGACACATTATAAGAGATTAACCAAAAAATGGCTTCAATTTGTAACCCTCCATAAATGGCACGTTCCTTTGCAAGTGTTGCTGCACCCACCAGAATAAAACGGGGCCGTATTTAAAACCAAAGTAGTGGTAGAGTTTTACCAAGCTATTATTAAAAAAAAATCTGCTTTATTTAATAATAACTTGTTAATAACCATCTGGCTTTTTTAAATTTCTTAAAATACTTGACTACATCAAAAACTATTAAAATATTTCAAGTATTTTAGACAAAAAGAAAGTAAATAATCTGGCCCTGTTAAAAACTGACCTGTTTCAGAATCCGGGTGGATTCCACTGATTTATGATTTGTTTACCCTCTGGTTTACTCTAAACAATACCGCATTTAACTTAAAAGTAATAAAATTTTTAGTAGATCTTAGCAAAATGATATTAGTATACTCATAATCCATTAAGTCCTCCTAAATGAAAATATTTTCAAGATGGCGGCACTTCCGGTTATATCGGAAGTCGGTCTCAACTTTGTTATTTTAAATAGAAAGGTATATTTTTTACTGCGTTTTTGGATTAATCTGGTTATTTTAAGGGAGTTTTCATCAGCTTTCCCTATACCTAAATTTAGCCGTTTTTTAAAATATTTGGAGTTTTTCAAAAATTTTTGGATCTGCACCTTCCAATTTAAAAATCGGTAACTCTGCCATTTGCTTTTTTGGCGTTTAAAAGAGAAAGCTTAGATCCTTTTTCTGGTGTTTTCAAATTTTGAAAAAAAATATCCCAAAATTTTAAGGTTACTTTTGTAATAATTCAAATACTCATAACTCAATTTTTTCAAATGAAATACCCCAATTTTTATTTTACTAAATAGAAGAGAATTTAATTGTGCATTGATCTGTATTAACATTCCCTATACCTAAATTTAATAATTTTTAAGTTATGGACTTTTTTTTAAGACTACAGAAAATTTATTACTAGCTATACGCGTTTTCGCATAGTTTGCTATGAAAATCAAAAAAGTCACAATTTTCTCTAAACAAACGTCAACAGTAAATTACTATTTGACAAAAAGTGCCAAAATATGGAGAATTAAAGTTATGCAAACTTCATTATTATTGATAGGTTCTACCATGCGATCATTATTTAAAGCTAACAAGTGAGAAAAATTTATTTTTGTTTAATAAACGACATCATAATTTTGTTACACTCTCCATAAATACAAAATAAATTAATTAAATCTAAGTTTGAGAAGTTTTGACTCTTCATATTTTGGCACTATTTGTCAAATAATAAGTCATTGTCGACGTTTCTTGAGAAACAATTTTGACATTTTTGATTTCCATAGAAAACTATACAAAAAGGAAAAGGCTAGTAATGGATTTTCGGCAGTTTTAACAAAAGGTCACCATAACTTAAAAATTAATAAATATAGGTATAGGGAATGTAAATACAAATCGATGCAGAATTAAATTCTCTTCCATTTAGTAAAATAAAAATTGGGTATTTCATTTGGAAAAATTGAGTTATGGGTATTTGAATTATTACAAAAGTAACCTTAAAATTTTATGGTTTGTTAATTTTTTTTCAAAATTTGAAAATGCCGGAAGAAAGATCTAAACTTTCTCTTTCAAACACTAAAAAAACGAATTCAAAATTTTAAAAAATAGCAGAGTTACCGATTATTAAAGTGGAAGGTGCAGATCCAATATTTTTTTTGAAAAACTCCAAATATTTCAAAAACGGCTAAATTTAGGTATAGGAAAAGCTGATGAAAACTCCCTTAAAATAACCCGATTAATCCAAAAACGCAGTAAAAAATATACCTTTCCATTTAAAATAAGAAAGTTGAGACCGACTTCAGGTATAACCGGAAGTGCCGCCATCTTGAAAATATTTTCATTTAGGAGGACTTAATGGATTATAAGTATGTACCAATTTTCAAACAAATATTATTCGAACTCCCAATACTTTTAATGTGGGGTTTAGACGGAACACCCTGTATACTGAAGACAAAATCACATACAAAGTTTTAGAAAAATATACTTTCTACCAAATTAAATAATTAACCTCATTTCTGCACGATTTGATTTTAATAATAAGTGAAAATTGATATTGCGACGATTATGCTACGGTTTTTGGCATTATTGCCGCCCTAGGCACAAAAAACTAATTAACAATTATAGAATGCAAAAAAAACGTTTAGTTTATTTTTTTTTCAATTGCCCTCCTTTGTGTTTTTGTGTCTTAACATTAAAGCGTTGCCATATTTGGATTTTTGAAAATCTTACAATTATTGTTTCTCTTGGAAAGCAAAATTACTATCAAAAATTTTGTTTTGCTCAGGTTTTTTCTCAATCTAGATAAGACCAAATGTCCTTATTTAATTGCTTTTTTACTCATATATTATATTATTGAAATTATCAAATACAAAAAAAGTTGCTAATAAAGAAATAGTATATTATTCAACGAATGAGAAGTTAGCTATTTCCACGCAGATGAAATTTACGATACGACCCGAAAGCGAGTGAAATAAATCATATGATTGAAAATGGCCATTTCTCACGCGTTTAATACTATACTTTTTCTAATCTTAAATAATGACTATAATACTCCCTCCGTCCGAAAATAAGTGTCCTGTTTGTTAATTTTTCTAAACTTAACTTTATTTTGAGAAGGCTATGCAAATTATTTTGTTTATTATTATAAAATTGTTATAACGGCTGTTTATTTAAATGTGGCGTCATATTTGGCGGTGATATGAATGTGTTGTGGACGGACCTATATTTTTAGACGAGGTGTCAAATGTCAGATTAATAACTTTCAATACAATGGTTCGTTCACAATCGAACTTTCATGGATAGCTTTGACGCAAAATTTAAAAAAACACCCGTTATACAGCGGCACATTCAGAGGATGACATTATTTCAATGCCAACTTGATCCTTCACTCATTTATGGACATAGTTTATAAAGAGATATTAATTCCAAAGTATCTGTAATGTTGTTTCTATAGGAATATTACCTTTTAAGTGTTTTTAAATAAACCAAAAAAAGACAAGTAAGTTAAAGTACCAGGAACATTAAAAAAATGTTTAAAAAATTTTAAAATTTCGAAGTTATGAAAGTTTGCACTTTGACTCTTTATTTCTGTTAGAAAAATAATTTTACATGGTCAAAATTTTTAAAACATTTTTTTAATGTTCCTGGTATCTTAATTAATTACAACACACCCTGTAGAGTGTTAATAAAAAAAAATATTTTTGACAATCATTTTCTGCGAATTATGATTTTTTTTTCTGGACAAACATTTTCGCAAAACCGGACACTTAAATGTGGACGGAGAGAGTAATTCATTTTATATTTTCTTTTTATTGTCAACATACATTAACCATTTTTTTTCTCTTTCTTTTTCTCCACAATTTACAATTTTTTCCACAGATAAAGATTGAACAACTTTCTCAAGTAAAAACTTATGAGAAAAGTACAATTTTTTTAATATGATTAGAAAAAAATGTTTTTTTAATCAAACTTAATTATAAATAAAACGTAGTCTTGTTCATTGATTTTTCTACACTAAAATTCTCTCAATATAAAACAATTCAAGAAAATTTATTTATTAAAAAATAAACTAAATACGTCCCTGGACAACAAAATCAGGCATTATCCGTACTCTATATTTTTTTCAATAAAACTGCTCTCCAAAAGCTCATCTTCAATTTTTATAAAATAGTGTAGAAAAAAAAATTAAACAATCATTTTTTTAATTTTATTAAAAAGAAATAAGTGTTTATATTTCGAGAAATTATCTAGAATTCATGCTAAAAAATCGCAAAATACGTTAACTTAAGAATTTTTTTTTTTTGGAATAATGGAAAAATTCGATTTAGATCGAGGGGCCATTAACTTGAAAAAAATGTGTACAACTAATTCCAATTCCAAAAAATTCTACCGAAATTCCATTAATTCTAATAATCCATTGTATTTGGGTTAGGTAATCCGATAGTTCCAAGAGGGTAAATTCCAGTAATTCACAAATAATCCCAGTAATTCCAAACAATCCAAAGATAATTTTAATAATTTCGGGCCCTCAGTTTAGGTCATCGTTCGAAAAAAAAAAACATTAAATCTTCTAGATATTTAATTAAAAAAATAATAATAGCAGCATCGCTCTTTGTTACGTTGATTTGACTTTATACTTTTTGAACTCACGACTGAAAAATTATTAAGCAAAAAAACTAAACATTATTATTTTTCTTAATCAACTTTAATCATTACCAAAGCGTAAACGAAATATCAAACCTGTACCACAAATTAACTTACTAAACATCACGAAACCGTTCCTCCTCACTTATTCCGAAATCAATCAAGAGTGACATTTTGTAACTTAATTTTCGCAGCGACTGTATGAAAATTCCCTTGTTGTGGTATTTTCCTACGACTTTCTACAACCAGTGTAATAAAATTTCCCGAGTGAATTATTTTTATTAGATTTGCCCGAGAGCAATACCATCTACGCTATGCGAAAAAACAATTTGAAAATTTGAAAAATATTCCAGAAAAGAACCGGAATGCAATCGATTGTGTTGAGAGACAAGATAACAGATTGTAAAGTCGACGACTTTGCAGAATATTCTGTTCTGGTTAAAAAAAAAATGCAAAGAGACGTTAACATTTTTCAACTCTTGTCAAGGTTGAGGGTACTGTGTCGCGTACTTGGCACAAATTTCGGCATAATAATGCGCCAAATGAGTATTTTTAGTGTCGCTTGAAGCTAAACAAAATTTTCTTTAAAATGTTTGTATGATAAAAGAACAATTTAAAACTGCACTAATACCGAAATAATTATATAAAAAAGGCGTTTCAAGAAACGAAACGCTCCACTTCGCCTCAATTACAACTCGTAATCACCCAAAATAACCATTTTAACGATCTCCTAACATCTTCATAATTGGTCAAAACCGTCTACGATTTATTTATCGCGTAATATTTTTTTTTTCATTTTTTCTAATTAAAACACTCACCATCCGAAGCGGATTCGTCTGTATGAGGGTGGTTTCAGTTAATTGTGCATCGGCCGGTTCCGACACGTAAACCCCTTTCTTGGCCAACGTCTGTAGAATCGCCGAATGATTCAAATTGTGATAATTCGGATCCGAGTAGATGTTTCCCAAAGCCATGCAGTAGATTTCGGCGTTTGCAAGAATTCTCACGATTTGAGGCTTCAAACGTTCCTGATTCTGTGACTCAATTAGGGAATTGAGTTATTTAGATTACAAAAAAACTCACCTCGTGATCCCTGTAAAAAGGCTCGCGCAGATTCTCGGGCACTTTGTTGTTGAAGGCCTTCGAAAGCAGCCATTTCACCGACGCCCGCTGCTTGGCCTGCAAAAAAATATATAAAACTTGTTAAATTGCAAAAAAAAAAAACGTCACGATATGTATCAGTATTGATCGAAACTAAAAATATTTTCGGATAACCTAGAAATACAACGTTATTAGAGTAATTTGTCTCTAATATTGACATCTGTAACACTTCTAACTATGCTAATGGAATACACAAAAACTTGCGTAATTATAGCTACTCAAGATGTAATTTTTGTAATATGAAAAGTAGATGAACGATTGATCAATTTATTTCTTGTCACCAAGAATGAGAACAATGAACTCGGAAACTCTCATTCGAAACCGAAAATGTTTTAGATTTAATCTCTTATTAAAATATTGACTACTTTCTCCTTTATCCTTCTGTGCCATCTCTAATATATCACTTCTAAGATGTATTAAATTTTTTTATACGCAATTTAAATAAAAAAATTATTTATTTTTTGTTTGATAAGAGACATAAAATTGTGATTTTTAATCAATTTCAAACAACAAAAACGGAATTTTTAGCAAGACTTAAAATTTAATAATTATGTACCAGGTGACTCAAGTTTCAGCCATATCCCCTAAAACACCTTTTTCTAATTAACTAAAAGAAAGAAGTAACAAATAACATTGGTAAGTACATACAAGGTGTTTCAATAAAAACGAGCCACCCTGAATATTTCAGAACTAAAAAGACTGCAAAAACGCCGAAACAGGTCGATTTTGTTTACGAAGGGGACATTTTTTGACGCAATTTTTAAAGCACCCTCAGTAACCCCTTAACCCCGACGCACCCCTACTTATGACACATCAAATAGAAGCTATTTTAGTAAAGTTTTCAAAACTTTTTACCAAAATTGAATCAGACCATCCATTCATGAGATACAGGCTATTCTAATAGAAACGAACCATCTTAGAAAAAAATTGCAAAAAAAAAAACCCGAAACAGGTTAATTTTGTTTTTAAAAGGGACATTTTTTATCGCAATTTTAAAAGCACCTTCACTAACCTTTTAACCTCTTAACTCTAAGATGTCAAATAGCACCAACCACTAATGATATAAAAAATGAAAACACTTTTAAAATGCTCTTTAAAAGCTTTTTTCCAAAATGAGATGATTTTTATACATTCATAAAATATCGGCAAAAAACTAATCTTTCAGGAGTCAGTATGTACAAAGGAACTTAAGAACTATATTGCTATTTTTTAAATATTTACATTAAATTATAAAAAACGTGATTAGCCCCTGTCCTTAGTACAATTATTTTGACAATAAAATAAAGAAATAAACATAAGTTTGTTACACCTTCCATAATACTTATAACAATATTAGTATGTTTCTTCTAATTTATTTTAATAGTTTTCATTAGAAGTAATTACTAATTAGAAACATTAGAACAACTTTAGAAAGGAGGTTCAAAGAACATTTTAAAAACACTTTTATCTAACCTGTTTCGTTTTTTTTGCAATTTTTTTCTGGTTCGTTAGAACACCCTGTATCTCATGAATGGATGGTCTGATTCAATTTTAGTAAAAAGTTTTGAAAAGCTTATTAAAATAGCTTTCATTTGATATGCCATAAGTAAGGTAACTTTAAATTTTTAAAGTTGGGGTGCGTGGGGGTTAAAGGGTTACTGGGGGTGATTTAAAAATTACGTCAAAACATGTCCCCCTCAGAAACAAAATTGACCTGTTCCGGCGTTTTTGCAATCTTTTTAGTTTCTGATATATTCGGGGTGGCTCGTTCTCATTGGAACAGCCCTGTATTAGTAATATCATGGTAAAAGTAAAAATGCTTAAGCACAAAAATAGACATTTAGTCATAACAGTGGTCACTTTTATGACGTTTGCAGATAAAAATAATTTTATTTTAAAAAAGCAATATTTAGAGTGAGCGAAAAAGTTATTCGATTTGTTTCCTCCGAAAAAAATCAAATAACAGTCTCATCGACATTTCAGCGAAAACACGCACGAATTCCATTCTGACTCAATTTAAATCGTTAAATTATCCAATAGACAAGCACCGTTGTGGCTTTACAAATAGAAAAATAAATTTTCAGCATCATTTTTTCCACTCCAACCACATTCCACATTACCTATTTTAACAAATCATTCTCTACCCAACGGTTATAATAGCATAGTTAATTGGATCAGAAGATAATCGTCTATACTCAAATGCTCATCATTAATTGCCGTGAAAATATTACCATAGTCGTGTTATCCAACTGCATGAATATAAATCCCTGTTTTACCTTAATGGATTAACCGACGAGTTATTATTGTTAAAAAAAAAACGATATTTTTTCCAGTCTTGAAGTAAAGTTGTTTGTGCAATTTCATGAGTGGAACTAAACGAGTTGTTGGCAACTTTACCATGCGAATTATGCGGAAACAGTACGAAGATTATGGGCGTAGACTAAAGAAGAGTAATCATTATTCTTAAATAAATCAATCTTTTGCTTTTTCACTTCTTTACTAAGATTGCGTTTTTAAAAACTTAATTATTTTAACGACTCGGACGGTTAGAAAAAACATCGTTTTGTCCAATTTTTTGATTGATTAAAAAAAAAATTCTATTTTTCGATGACAATTTTTTTCATACACTAAAAATCCCATAAGCCGCGGTGTTTTTGTCACTATACCAGCGACAAAAGCTTGCCCTAACTAACTTTTGAAAGCGGCTGAATCTAGTAGGTCTACTTCAAGTCAAGTCAAGTTTACTTCGAAAAGAAAAGCTCTAGTGTAATTATAAGTGAGAATTGTGTTTTTAATAATTGACCTTTCCATTAAATTAAATAAACTAATTTACACCTTATTTGTTAATTTATTGATTTACGTATTCATTAAATTCTCTTACCGAATTACACTCAAGCTTTTTTTACGAAGAAAACTTGACATTTTTAATTCGAGTTTTGTTTCCTTTAGGCAATTTAACGAAAAAAACTGCTTCTGAAAAAATTCCTACGGACTCGTAATTTTTTCTGGCCTTTTTGTTTTCTCATTAAAATGTCAAGTTTACTTCGAAAAAAAAAAAGCTTTCGTGTAATTATAATTGAAAAAAATCTTTCATGGGCTTAAAACACAATTTTTTTTTGTTGTAAAGTTGAAAAATCTCTGATAAAGAAACACGATCTTTCGTGTCACCAGACATTTGCTTTGCACAAAATCCGTTTACAAAGTTTCAATTCGAGCAGAAAATAGCAGCGTCTGGAGAGATGCAAAACCAGGAAGAAGTGTAACGTGAGAATAAATAAAACGAGAAATGCGTTGGCGAAGTTCCATAGATGAGACTCCAACATTTCTCATTATGCGGTGTGAAATATTGTAAATGATTTAAGTTAGGTGTGTCGAGTTGGCAAACGTTGAATAACACAAACTGTAGAGTTTGACTATTTGTTCTAGCAAAATAAAAATGCGACAAGTTGGAGAACGAGTTTGAGTAGAATTTCAACTTGTTTCGTTCAGTTTGAAGAAATCTTTAAAGAGATTTGCTATCAAATTCTTCATTTGAAACACATACAGAGTGTCCCAGTGAGTTGAAAAAGTCCATTAGTGACCTTTAAATGGTAAAATTTAAAAAAAATTGTAAAGGACATTGATAGATAATAATCTAGTGCAAATTTTTCTTACTGTTGCAAAGAAGAAAGTACAGAATTTAAAGCTGTAGCAATTTTTTAGTGTTTGGGATTTGTAAAGATTTATAAATTAAAAAGTTTGTTAAAAGTTAAAAGTCGTTATAAACACTGAAATTCAAATTATTTTATTGTAAAAGTAAAGAATTTGTGTAACTGTGCACTTTTTGGCTGAGACAATAGTAATTTTTTTTTTAATGTTTAACGTTAAATATCTTTTTAATTATTGATTATAAATACCTAAAAGTAAATACATTTTGAAAAACAATTTAATAATCTTTTAAATGCAAAAACAATAAATAAGGTGTTCCATTAAATTTTTTTAAGTTATTGAACTTTTAACAAACGCCTTCATTTTTTTATCTTTGCAAATGCAACACACTTACAAATTTATAGCTTTACGGCAATAAAAAAAATATTTCTAGATGTCTTAGTTTTTGTGTATAAATTTTTAAAAAGTTCATGTTGTCAAAAAATCGTCTTATTTTTAAAACTAAGTAAAATCGACCAATAAAAGTTTAGCTTAAAAACATTGTCATAAAACTCTACATCCAAAAACGCTAAGAAACATATGGTGTTCCATTTAAAAAAAACACAAGTTTGTATTGTACCTTATTTTTGAGACACGCTGTATAGTTGAAAATAATTTTAAGCGATGAACTAGATATTATCTATTAATGTCCTACATAATTTTTTTTAATTTTACAATTTAAAAGTCACTAATGGACTTTTTCAACTCGCTGGGACACGCTGTATAAGCTTTATTTATAAAAAAAAAAGTACAAAAAATAAATTTTGTGTTTGAATGATTATGTTAGCTTAAAACAGACACACTGGCCGGGGGCGTAGTGGCACAGCGACAAAAGCTAAAATCAACAATTTTTATCTAATTCAAATACTTGTAACGATTCAAGAGACTCAAAAAGTGCATAAAACGTTTTATAACATTCGAGTAAGATTTAAAAAACTCTTGTTTCCTCGGAAAATTATTATGTTGTTTATACAATTTTATAGACTGTTAATGTTATCACTTGTAGCAACAAAAATATTTATCTTTGCCCTAATATAAAAATTAATATAAAATAAACTTCGGTAAGAATAAGACTTGAAACAAATTTGCATAAGTCGTCCTTGACCCAGTACGAATTTATCCTCAAAGTTCATTCATTCATTCATTAACCCAATTTCCACTCCTCCGCCAACCCTTACAAAAACTCACTTAATTTCAATAACCCTCAAGATCAACATTCTCAAATAATTTCGGCGACCCACATTCAAATACCCAGTCTCTTACATCACACACACTTTTCCACGACGATTTGTCGTAACCATTGAAAAGTAGACAATTTGCGTTGGTTCATTTCACTAGATAAGGACAGGTTG